CGATAATATAGCCGAAGGAGAATTGCTACGAACCAGCCTGACGAGTGTCTACTGTGATCGAAGACGCCTGGAAATGGGGTTAACTGCCGTGATAATTATTATTCCACCCCGGTTAGCGACCGCTGTGCGAGCGATTGAATTTCGAGCACGCGCGAACTCGAGGTACGCCCGGGTCGGTCGTTCTTCGCGCGCAAGACGAGGACTAATTAATATCGTGCCGGTCGAGTAACTTAGCTGCGTACGCCTCGGCACGAAGGGGTTGCACTTTGAGACCTGAAAATACGGCGGCTGTCCTTCTCATGCGAAGGGTCGATCCGATCGTCACGCGGCCATTACGCGGCTTTCACACCGCGGCTCTTGCATGGCGTAGACGAAGAGAAAGAAATAAAAGCCAGGATGAAACCTAAGATGAAAAGAAAAACCAATAACAGAATTATGAAAAGATGAGAATGGCCAGGAGGATGAAATTCTCCCGACCTCATTTTACCATCGTATTTTCATCTTAAATAAACAATTTTTCGCTTCTGCTTCACATATCGAAACGTGAAGCAAAAGATTAGCGGTAATTATTTGTCTTTCATGGAAGAATTAAAAGGAAGAAAGTGTGAAGATTGTAGACGAGTTTGACAGCGATTTATATTTTCTATTATTTCGGTTACCGCATGCGAAAGTAAGATTGCTCTAGGAAATTCCGTATCTTCCGCGAACTAGAGATTCATGCCTGTATTTTCGTCGCCAGTAGACGGAAATATATTAAAGATCTGCTTGTTCAAGCAGGAGATAAAGATAAACATGACGTTTGGAGAGAGTAGCTTAGCCGGAGGATCTTTCGAAGTCAGAATAAATACTTTACTTGCGTGAAAATTCTGCAAGCAGTCGTCTTTCCTGTACGACGGAAAGTCTCCGGTTCGTCCGAGTTGCGCTCGCCAAACACGACGGTTTCAGGGTATCATAAAACCGACACGCTCGTGTGCGTTTTATCGACTGCGTTTCTACGAAGTGTCCAACGGAGATATATACCGCGGAATACATCGCGGTATATATCTCCCATCCACCACAATTAACTTTTTAATAAAGCTTCGCGCGTCCGAACGTTGCGGGCGCATTTTTTTGCAGCGAAGCGGCGCGATGGGAAATTGATTTCTGTCACCGCGCCGCGGTCGCGCTTTTTTTCCCAGACCAGGTGTGTACTCGGCTTTATTGTTACCCACGACCGGCATCGACGAGGAGCGGCATTCTTCCCGCTTGCATGCCTGCTGCGAGATAAGATACATCCACGGTCATTAATAGCAAGCGAAACGCCGATAAAGCGTTGTACGAGCGGGCTCGACGTCGCCGAATTTTCCTCCTGCTTGTTAGCCTGAATAAATCGTGATAGCCACCCTCATATTTGTTTACAATTTCGTCCGTGAAAGCGGCGAGGAGGTCCCTCCTTCTCTTCCTTCCCCCTGTCTTTGAAATCGTCCGGCACTCCCTATAGCAGCCTAATTGGATAATAATAATTTTGTTATCGCGCGAGATGATAAATAGCGGCCGCGTGCGCCTCTTTAATCTAATTCGTCAATGGCGGCCGCGAGGTGCTCCAACCGGAATTAATATAATACGTCCGCGAAATTGCGGACAGAGGATGAAATCTTCGGAAATTGGAACGGAAGAGAATTTCCTCCGGAAAAATGTTGAGCTGAAGAATTATAGACGTGAAACATTAATAGGAAAATATCGAACAAGCATAAAACATTTCCATAGCAACGATTTATATACAGCTTTTTAAGTATAATAGTTATGATAATTTCTTCAAGCAAATTTTTTTGTTATAAACTCCAGTTTTAGTACATTGAAGCAAATTGAAGTTTTCTCAAAATGTTTTATTAGTTTTCTCAAAATATTTTATCAAAGAGATCTTCAATTAATTCTGGCAATATCAAGCTTCTTTTCTCAAATATGATAGAGTTTCTCTTGTTTTAAGAAGAAAAAATGGTTTACAGCGTAAAACCTCTTATTATTATTATATAGTATAGCAAATAAATGTAAAAGCATGAAATTATTTATCATCTAAGTTTAACACTATTATCTCATATTTAACTAGCACTATTATCTCGTATTCAATTCAACATTTCATGGTTGATATGAATCTTTTATTTAGGTATTAAAGTCCAATGTTGTTAATGCAAAGGATAAAAATCGTAATATTTATTTCGATGTAAAGTTATCTCAGAGCTATTTTAAGGCATATAATGTTAATATTATAATATTCCGTGTACCTGGCACATTTCCATATTCATTTCCATGTATACGACGCATTTCTATATCCAAGAATTTTTGCTAAACCTTTCTTCGCATAGGACCTTTATGAGATATATTTCTCTCTACCTATGGCGTCTGAAATTGAATTTCACCGAGATAACACCGATTTCAATTTCTGGTTAAAGATTAAATATTCTTGATCGCATTATGTCGCATATTTTCTAGAGGCTCAATACCAGATGGCTGTTCCGATCGGTCGCGCCGGAGAAGAATAAATACGCGCAGATTGCGACGAAGAAATCCATGCAATTACGCGCGTTGCGCTTAGCGGCGCTATCGGAAATCCCGATAAACCGCAATCAGGGGTGAGCACCGTGATTAAAGCCCCGTGACGGTAATGGCGCCGATATAGCGCCGTATATAAATAGAATCCGACGTTGAATCGTTAATGGTGGCAATTCGTGTGTTCGGTAGAGTGGCGGTTGTAACAATATTTATGAATAGCGGTCGGTTAAAACCGCGTATAACAGATAACTTCGATAAATATTTGCGCTGAATCCGAAAATTGTGATAATTTGAATGTTGCTGCTATTGCTCATGCAAAACCGAATGAGAACGAATCATTTGCGTTTACGCCGCGTTTGTAAGTATCGTATTAAATATGCGCGGACGCGCGTAACAACTTTTTAAAAACATCCTCATCACTATATAAATAATATAAATATCTAAATACTCGCAAACTTCTTCGAGACTTTCTTTTGACATTTTACACTCGCTCGTAAATCTCGGCTCAATGCTAAAGGATATCGAAGGCAGTTCGAGAAATGAAGTTACTCGGTTTCGGAATGTCCCCAGGACCAGCCGATAAAATCCGTGGAATTTGCTTTACGGGGGTCGCGTTCGATGTCCTCCTTTGTCTTAAACACCGTTACCTGCAATGTGAGTTTCTAAAAGCGGGATTTTTCGAAGAATTCCTTGAACGGTATTGAAAGAGACGTCGTGGAAACGTGGAGGAGGGAAGGAGAGAAAGGTGGAGAGAAGACTCGGAGAAAACGCGCAAAGGTGGAACGGGGCAAGTCGAGAAGTCGAATCGCCGTCTTACAAAATAATGCGCCAGCGGATCTGCGCCATGTCTCGGCGCAATTAATTAAGATAATTTATGAGTGTAGCCGAGTCGTAACGGCGCGCGGTGGTTAATGTTTATCGCTTACGACGCTCGTATCGGCAGCATAATTTATCTTCGACCGGCCACCGGGCGTCGCGTCGCGTCGCGTCGCTCGCACAATTTACTACTACGCGTTCGTTAATTTATTTGGGAAATAATAATCGTTCGGTGGCAGATGGCAATGGCGTTTTTCTCCCCTGCGCATACACTGGGATAACGTATTGCGCGTAACCATCACGGGCTGAAAACTCGTCGTGGCAGCGCCGTTGGA